TTTCTCATGTTATAGATGAATAATTTTCTCAATTTCTGACAACAGATTCTATGATGTCATACTTTACCCATAATCCTTTGCTTGAGAATCAAGATGGCTGACTACATAATAACGATGAAAAGTTGAATATCTAGAGAATGAAAACTGATATAAAAAAGAGTGTAAATTGCATTCTCCTGCATTTGTGGAGCTTTTTCTTTAGGGGTCATTATGTTGTTTGGATTGAGGTTCCCTTTAATAGGCTAGTGATTGAGATTAGCTCAGACAATGTGCTCCCAGTAGAGTTGACAGTGATTTACAGAATGGTTAACATGGCCCAGTAAATAGGGGTATCGGTAATTAATTTGCAGTTGGTGAATATTCAATGCTAAATACCAATGTACAAATAAATATTCAAACTTTTGTAATTCATCTGTATACTATGTGATCAAAATTCTCTGAATAATCAATTTTTCAATCTGCCCATGAATCTAGGTTCCATCTAATTCATGAAAAACTGTTAATATTAAGCAACTATTTTAATAGTTGCTTAAAAACCAGATTTTATAAATAACAAAAGTGATTTCAGTGAAACTGTGCAAAAATCTGAGTGTGTCAGTTGTGGGGAAAAAAAGGAAAATAGTGAAAGGATTTCCCTTCATGCTACAAGCATATTATTTGTGGGAAAATCAAATTCAAAACGATTCTTGGTAGTATGCACAAACCATGCCATTGCAATTATACACTCCCTACCTTAATGCATTAGTCACCACACCCAACCTTACAAATGGAGAAATCAAACAAAGTACATAATTTATATACAAATGCTAGAAACAGTTATATTATGGATTGATAGGAAATATTTGAAAAATAAATTAATAAATGTGTATACTGATAATGATTAGTGAAAATGACAAATAATTTTGTAAACCTGTTGTACTTGCATTTGTTTGAAATGCTGGTCTTCCCTTAGTGTTAGTCGATATATATATATGTATTACCACACTAGCTCCATATTATTGACACGAGGAAAAACACAACTACATCATTAACATTTTTATGTGATTTTAGCATTGTGATAAAATGTACAACCCAAGCAACAAAAATAAACATCTGCATTTTTGCAAATAATTAATAATGCAATATAAGACTAGTATATTTTACCCCACCATTGACTTTTTTTAACCTTCACACAAAATTTATCTGCTTCTACGAATCTTGCACTAAAAATCTTAGACGTATCTAATTCTACTCTACTTGAGTGTGTAGCCAAGTTTACTATTTGGGTGTGTGCCTGAAGTTACTACCTGGGTTTCTGAAATTTGTCCAAGAAGCTGGGGCACCTTTTTGTCAGCATTGGCATAAACCAAAATTTCAGATATGTCTCATTTTTATTCTACTTGAATGCAAATCAAGACCAGTGCTTCCACTGGTGTAAGCATTACACCAAATTTCTGAATGATAACATATTTCAAGCATTCAACTTTATCAAGTCTCAAAGTTCATTGAATGTTTAAGTCAATCAAGTGATCAAGTCTAACAAAAAGCAAGTTTGCGAGGTCATTTTCAGAGGTGGGTCCGATGTAAGTATTGTCAGGCCTAGCAGACAGCCCATCATCTTACCAGCTTGTCTGTATGTATTAACTTTTCTGTGATTTTTTTGCTTTGACAGACTATGTTCATACTTCATAGTCTGGTCACACCTGTACTCTAGCGAGGTAGAACAAATTTAAGCAAAAATCTTGTCCTACTGTTGCCATTGGCCAACATCACAATTGTTCAATCATAACACAGGCTTGTTATTTTAACAATGAGCTCAGCAAATACTGTACAGGAAATTTTATAATTTAATTTCTGAACATCAAGACTAAAATTAACGATTCACCACTAACTATTCCAACTATTCAAGATAATATAATTGCACTCACTTTTAGCTGTCGATATAGATCGTGGAGGTCTGAGAGTTGGAGAGACTTGATGCGCTTCAGAAGTCACCTGGAAAAACTGCTGTTTGAGAAACCCAGCCTTCTCTTCTTCAAACTTTTTTCGCTAAAGTGAAAAATAATAACAAGTGATGACTATTGGGTAGTTACAAAAACTGTCATTAATAATAATTATGTTAGTTTAAGAATGTACTAGACAGCATTCATCGGTTATATTACTTTATCACTGCTAGAAATGGAAAATATTTTATGTCAAAATGCAGTCTACAATTTCCTCTACTATACAATTACCTCATGCCCTAAGCGGATTGCAGCTTCTGTAAATTTCCTTCTCTCTTCTTCAAAAGCAGCCTTCTGTTGATAAAACAATGTCTTTTCCTGGGAAAAACTTTCTTTTTCTTCCAGTAAATGAGAATCACGTAGAAAAGATAAATTATGATCTTCTTTATTAATTGCGTTTGTCTGATACTGAAAAAGAATAGAAGTGACGATTGGGAGATGTCATAAAGTGGCCAATTGAGGGTGCTCACATCCTGTTGCTAGTACACCCAAGATGAATTCATACCAGGGAACAGGGGCGCAGCGCCCTCATGCCATTGCCATGCACCCCCTTACCCTGGGGAGCAGATCCTCTGGCAACCATAAAATTCTGAATGACCAGGGATCACATGTGGCCAGTCTTCAACTGTGACCTGTCTGATAGTAATTTTGACCCCAAGGAATTCATAGAATGCTCCATTTTAAATTAGAATTGGTGGCGCCGCTGAATTGCAGTGCTCCCTCTTGCAGTTTTTTTCTAGAGAAACCCCTGGATCAAATGTTTCCATCTATGGACTGCATGCAGTGTGCACAGCAGCATGTTGATGCTTATACACAACACAGACTTAACACATTAAGACAATTACAAGATTAATACAAGAAATATGATAAAATGAAGATTTTCCTGCCCTTTATTTTCATAAATAACACATACTAACCTGCATTAGAAGCTGTTCCTGTTGATCAATAATTCCTTTATACACTTCAATCTTTTTAGACAGACTAGTTCTCTCGGCTACTAAGACTTCTATCTGTTCAGTATTATCAGATTCTCTGTTTCTTGTTTCTATCAGATGTAAACATAACCTCAAGATTAATATAAACTGTTTACTAATACACTGTATGAACAACATTTAGTTTAATACCATATGTCAAGACCATCTGAAACTACTTGCACCATATAGGACTTGCCATTTTCAATACATAACCCTTTATTTATACAGAGGGTAGCATAATAGATCATAGGCACATCCTTCCACAGGGTTCTTTTGGTGGTATTTCAGTCGCACGTTGTTTTATGTGCACTAAGAACAGGAACAACACAAGAAACCAACATCTTTTACATCCAGTGTGACTGAACACAATTCCAACCCTGAATGCTACAAGTCTAGCAAGTTGGCAGTGCATAATTTTTCACTGACAAGTGGACAGTAAACTGCAGTAGATGAAAAGCTTAATTTTTACATTGCAGAACTGACACATCAGGTCAACAAGAACTGTATGGTTAATTTAAGTACACCTTTCAATATTCTCTCGTTTGTGTGCTTTCTAACAGGACTGATTTTATAGAAATTCTAAGTCAAAATGGAATCCCCAAAAAATCAAGTTAAGTCAGCTTGTTGACTGCTGGGGAAGTTCGTCTTCAAGAAAAAATTAAATTGTATACGACTGTATAGGTGACTCTTGGCACAATAAAAAATATTGTGGCCACTGATGTGCATTGTTTTTAAACTTTGTTTATAAAAGAAAATTTCTATTTACCAAATTACAAATTCTGTAAATATAGTAAGATGTTTTTTTAAGATCACTATCAATGTATGATTTTTTGGTTGCATCAATGACGAGTTACTACAAATATTGCGCATCCTATAGAGGACACACTGTTTATTGCCACTAGAAATCTACAGTAACACTATGAAATACTGCACGTTATGATAGAAAGTTTGCCTGAATCATCTCATGAATACAGCAGAAGGTATGCATAAGGTGATAACAATGATTTACCTTTCCCATTTTCAATCTTTTTTATATGTTCTTTAAGTTTTCGCCATTTTTGTCTCATACTTTTTTCAATACCTTCTCTCACCATGTCAAATGGCATCTGATAATGACCAGTAGACAACTCTTCAACAGACGATGACACTGAGGCAGTCTCTTCATCTTCAGATTCATCTGATGACTAAATACAGAAGATGTTAAATCAAAACTTTTTGTCAGAAGGTGTGTGGGTTTGTGGAGGAAACTCAAGCAGTTATCTCTACTAAGGCTGTAAATCTCACACAAGAAGCTACATCTCATTGAAGTAAAATAGTAAAGAATTTGAAAATAATAAAAGCAATATATGTGCCTATAGTTATTTTACATGTACTACTAAGAGAAAATATAGTATTTTTAATACTAGCTATGTGTTAAGTTTAAATTTCACAATTGTGAAAAAATACAGAAAAGTGCCATATCCGTCAGTAGCGCTTAGTGCTTACAAATAAACAGGTATGTCTATGGTCAAAATAAGTTTTATTTTATACTTTTCACCACCAGACTTTCTTACCCAAAATTATTAAGCTTATTTGTCTTATATTCTTCAATATTTCTGGAAATAAACCCTAATTTTGTCGCAAACAGACACAATTTGAGTCAATTTTCAGTTTTACTCAAAACTTTTTTGCTATTTTTGTTCTAATCTTCTGAATAAAAGTTCAGACTATATACTATATATTTTATGAATTTGTGATGAAAAGAGGGAACTGGTGGTGAATAGGTTACAGGGTTCGTAGCACCAAGAGCCAAATGATTTCCAAGACTTTTCCAGACCTTTCCCCAAACTTTTTTGCATTTTGACCCTTAATTCAGGCCAACATCATCACCAAAACTCATCAAAGTTTTGAGGATATGATAGTTCCCTGGAGAAAATGGGCCTTTTCAAAATGAAATTTAAAGACTTTTCAAAGATTTTTTTATTTTTCCTGTAATTTAAAGACAACTTAAAGACTTTCCAGACCTCAAAAAATCTAAGAATTTCAAAGGATTTTCCCAACGCTACAGACCAAAGGTTAATGATGCAGCATAAAATAAATGCATATAATACAGCAAACAGGGTACTCACAGTAGACTTATTTGATTTAACCGGTGACTGTTGATTCAAAAGATCCACCAACTCTTTCTCCATATTACGCAGAGACTCTCTCAAATCTTGATTTTCCAGCATCAATTCTTTCTGTCTTTCTTCATAATTAGTGATAATTAGCCTGTACATGTCTTCTTCATGCTTACTGTCAGCAGAAGTTACTTGTGTTAAACATCTCAACATTGCACTGTTGTAGTATTTACACGCATGGCATGGGGGAAAAATGTACCTTTAACCCTTTCAGTGTCATTGTCAACTTTTGGCACCACTTACAAAATTATTTTATACAGTCTGTTTCTCTCAACATGAAATGTTGATAACAATTGACAAACCTTTTGATCAAAAACCAAAAAAAATATCTGAACTTGTTTATGGTCTAAAATCACAATGAAATTCAGTGAAAATTGTACAAAAGATGAAAATACCAAGCACTCAAAATGTTAAACATGTTTCTGACACTTAAATACAAACTAAAGAATGTTTTAGGCATATTGTGTTTGATATTCTATCATAGTAGGAACACTATAGCCAGAGTATAATTTATCATAAAATAGAAGTTATGCCTATAAACATAACAGCAATATAGATATATAATACAACAAAAGAAATGCCAATGTGCATTCACATTGTGTAGGTACACATACCGGTAAATCAGGTTACACAGGCATTTCTATTTTTTGTTGAAGTACTGTAGAATACTTTATTTTCACTTGGAATTTATTTTCGCTATTTTAGCTGAAGGGATGATTCCGTGAAAATAAAATCCAGCGAATATACTTTTTTTCCTATATTTCACATTAAACTCATGAAAAATCAGTGAAAATAAATTCCAAGCAAAATGCCCAAAAAGCCTTTTCAGCGAAAATTAATTCCAGCGAAAATAAAGTATTCCACAGTATACTGTAAATTGGTCTGTAAGTTTGTTGTACTAAAGCACTATAGAAGTTTACAATTGCACTTTCAAAGTCCCCCAGAAATAACAGTACATGCATACCAGTATTAATGTTATTAGAGTTCTTTAATTTACCTATTTTGCCCAGCAGTTTTCCATTTTCCTCTTTTACCATCAGCTCTCTGTAAAGAATTCAAGATATCCATTCCTAAAACGAGAACAAATCAACATAAATACAAAGAATTGTAGACTTTGGGGGGCATTGAATACCGGTACTAGCAAGTGAAAATGAAATAGCATTTCTTACGTCATTCTTTTAAGTTTTGACTATGAAGAAATTGACTAGCAGGTGGCATACACACATCTCTGTATATAAACCTGATCCAGATTTATTGGGGAACCAGAATCGTAGTTGCACATTACAGAGTATGGCATGGTGGTAGTGTGTACAAATCTTTAGCTATCTGTGCAGTCGCTGGGTTGGTGTCGCTTGTTAGCTTGTGTATATATCTGGTAGCGTCGCTAATTTGTGGGATTCGAATACTAACGTTCAGCACCATCAATGAGGTTTGATTGACAAACCTCAGTGACGGTGCTGAACGACACTTACACAAAACATAAATTGCAATTGACCTCACTGTGATGAGGTATTGGTTGTGGAATACGGAAAAAGGGACCGAAGCCTGCACACTGCGTACACAATATGCTAATATTCAATTGCACAAATATAGGTATTTTTTTACCTGATACTTATAGTATCACTTATTAAACCTCAGTGACCGTTACGCAAGATACATTCAAACTTTTTGTAAACAATGATGTATTTTACATGTGCTGCATAAACCACATTGGACACTGCATGTCATGACCACCACAGACCAAAAAACTTGCCAAGAAATTAATCACATGCACCATTAAAAAAATTAGTTTCACATCACTGGAGCTTTTCATATTAGTTTTAATTTACAGAGGATGAAATCACAAAAAACTGCAATCAATCCACCACATTGGACCATTATTGGACACTGCATGTCATGACCACCAAAAAACCAAAAAACTTGCCAAGAAATTAATCACATGCACCATTAAAAAAAATAGTTTTCATCACTGGAGCTTTTCATATTAGTTTTAATTTACAAAGGATGAAATCACAAAAAACTGCAATCAATCCACCACATTGGACCATTATTGGACACTGCATGTCATGACCACCACAAACCAAAAAACATGCCAAGAAATTAATCACATGCACCATTAAAAAAATTAGTTTCACATTACTGGAGCTTTTCATATTAGTTTTAATTTACAGAGGATGAAATCACAAAAAACTGCAATCAATCCACCACATTGGACCATTATTGGACACTGCATGTCATGACCACCAAAAAACCAAAAAACTTGCCAAGAAATTAATCACATGCACCATTAAAAAAATTAGTTTTCATCACTGGTGCTTTTCATATTAGTTTTAATTTACAGAGGATGAAATCACAAAAAACTGCAATCTTAGTTGTGAACTTTGAAATATAGAATTCTTACCTATTCTCCTCTCCTGAGTTTTATCCGTTAATAACTGGTGCACTCTTTCTTTCAATTTATTGACTTCTTTTTCAGTTTTCTTGATATCATGTTTAAATTGAGAATCTCTCTGCTTCAAAATTCCTTCCAATTTTCTGAGGTCTTCTTTCCCTGCCTTCATTTTTTCAATTACTGATTTATTTTTATTTTTTAACTGTCTTTCTTTTTCACACAAGGCAGCAATATTCCGTTGACTGCCCTCAAGTTCATCTTTTAGTCTTGTTTGGTTTGAATGAAGATGATCTAAGTCAGTGAAATTACGATGTTGTCTGGAATGAACAAGTAAATATAATTGCATTAAAATTATCAAAGAGAAAAGTTTTCTAAGGCATTTAAAAAAAATTCGTAATGAAACTAGGTGCCCTCAGAATACCAAAGTTCAATCTCAGCATTTAGAATAGAATTCGAAAACACTAATAGCTAGATAGAAACAACCTAAAATGCTTTTTAAGGTTGCTAAATACAGTGCTTATTGCAATTTAAGATCATATGTAAAAAAAAAAGTCTAACAACAAATTTTTGAGAATTTTAAACACGATCTGTTCAATTAGAAAATACCCTGAACTCAACTTTTTTTTGAAAAGAGGGTATGAACCAATTCATAAAGATATAGCAGTTTCAGTAATGCTAATACATTGAGGCTAGAAAGTGTCCTCATGTAAAAACTCGCTTTGAAGCCATCCATTATATTCACAAATCTGCTCAAATTAAATTTACTTTGACCATTTAATATAGGATCTCTAAGACGCTCTAAGACACTAAGTCATATTGATAATTGTCACAAATGACATCAATTTAGCAATTTGATAGTGTTGAAAATAAAACAATTTGCAGAAAACAAATCATTGGTGTTAACAATAAGTGCATTTGTTAAGTATAAATTTAAAGTAAAATTAGATTGTGATGCCAGACTGGCTACAATAACAGGAAGTTGTGGAAATTACTGGGCAGACATGAAAAGGATAATTTGATCACCTGATCAGTTTTTGTACAAATGATCTCAATAATATTATTTCACCAAAAAAAGGGATCTTTTGAGGGACGCAGACAATTTGTATAGCAAGTATGTAGGAGACAATATTAAGTAAGGTCAGAACAGCATCTATCTTGGCTTAGCTAACCTAAGTATTTTGTTTTCCTGTTAAAATATTTTACGAAGTCATTTTTCATGGTGTTGTATAAATTATTAACATTTATTACATTACATGTGATAAACAGGGTGGGATTTAGAAAATATGACTAGATTGAATGTCAATTTTGAAATTTATTAAAAATATTACGATTCATATCAATAACACAAGTATTATTTACATTTTCATTGCATGTCACTGAACAAAATTTTAAGATGTAAATAAATATTTTTGCTACAGAAACCTGTGCAACTCTTGCAAATTTCCAGTGATCCCAAGTTGTTTTTTAATTTTATGGAATGAACCAAATACGAAGAAAATCATCTCTAAACACAAGTGAAAGAATCTTTGAGAGAGAAAAAGTACTCACCTGACTTCTAACTCTTCTGTATGTCTCATACTTTTCTGATGTCTTTGTAGTAATTCAAAAGTACAATTTATAAGTCTAACAATATCAAAAGTATCTGGCGGGCCTTTATCACTTGGTGATGTTGTATACAAAGAAGGGAAACCTAAAACTGATAATTCCTGCAATAAATAGGAAATGAGTGAGTACTGAAAAAACATAAAACAGCAGATCAATAACTAAGGGCGCGATATTTATATTTAAACTCTGTTAGATTTCTAGAAAGCAACTTATGTTCAGTGGGTTTTATAAAATACAAATAATGAAAACTAGAATTTGTAATAAAATTCTATGTATCAGTGTGTAATTGGAATGAAGCCCACAAATAGTAAATAACTTTATATTGTAACATCTTGTTTCAAAACTAAAAATTTTTTCTATTCAAAATATCAATAGTTTGCATGTTATTATAGTAGAGAAAACACTTTTTGTCAAACTGTGAGAATTACTAAAAAAGTGCGTAAACCAACAACATGGCATAAGATACAAATATTGAAGCATTCTGCATTATCTTTTTCATAAAATAGTGGATTGTGTTAGAAGGCAAGTCCTTGACATTTTTTCTAATTTCTTATTATTAACAAAGATATTTATAGCCAATATAAGGCTTCAACCACAAACTAGATGGTGTAATGTACAAGAAGAAACGTAATTTTATCAGCAGTTATAATTTCACAATCCACACCAGTACAAATTTAAAAGGACAAAACAATACAAGCAGACATGTCACAACCAATTCTAGTATGTTTATATGTATTTTGCATGTTTGGAATTGATAGCAATTTAATATTGACACAAAGATATTTTTCTTTTCAAAAGTAATTTTCTGCTTCATCACTTTAAAAAGCACTAGGAAAAAATAATTTTTTTTATAGGAGGTTCATCTAAATATAGACAACTGTAAGAAGATCCTACCTGATCAAGAAACGCTATGCACTGGTCTACATTTTCCCTAGTACAAAACACTGGATGCACCAACTTGTCCATAAGCTTTAAATGGTGCTGATTCAAAGGACGAGGTGGAGAAGGTGACAACTGCAGTCCATTTGGCTCTCCTAACCCACCACTAGGAGACTTGTCTGACTGTATCATGTACTTCAGTGGAAATCCATTGGCAATTAAATTTGAAGCAGTCATCTCAGATAGTCCTGTAAAGTTACTTGCTCTAGTCCAGTCTGCCATCTCCTAAGTAATCAGCTTTTACCTCTTTTACTCATACTCCCTGTGGGAGAAAGAAAATACAATGACAAATTTCAGCTTTACAGACTCTTGCTATAGATATTATCATGATTTCTGTTTTTGAAAAGAAATAATTTTTTTATTTATGCCAAAATTTAGAATAAACTTCACCAGGAGAAGAAGAAGGGATATACATTGTAAAACACAGTATAATAAACCAAGGGAGGAAGTAATTCAGGTTAAACAGCATGTATGACATAGTTTGCAGAGACCAAGATGATTCTCACAGCTGGGTGTATGGTTATCTTCTCAGTAATTACTATTAAACAAGAGTGACCTCAGATGACCCAAGTCTATTAATCTATGGAAGAGATCCATCTCACTGGGAAAAGTTGAGTTATAGGGACAGACCAACAAGTGTAAATAAAGCAATCAAATAATGATATTTGACTGCAGTAAATACACATCATTGACTGATCTTTCAACAGTCCAACAATGTGCAATGGTCATCATGTTGTCAGCTGGGCAGTGTTTCTGATTTAGAATGACGACCAGTTCATTCTTAAAGTATAAATTAACACCCATTCTTAACTGAATAGAAAGTAGACTTTCTGAATATTTACTAGCAGTTGACAACAACACTGTCACTTGTCAAAGATGCAAGATAAGCTGCTTCCATGCTATTGGCAATGCTGTTCAAATGACATACATGGAACTCTGTGGAATAGTGAAGTATTCACATATACCATATTCTCCATGTTTTTGCTGCAGTACAATTTGCAAAATAACTAAACCACATCATATTTTTGCCAACGACAAAAAGTTGCAGCAAATCCAAGCAGTGAATATTTCAATTGGGATTGATAAAACTGCACAATAGTAAAATTTTAGAGTAAATCATATACTGTATTTGTCTAAAAAAAAGGGCATACATTTATAAACCAAACATTGCATTTACTATACATTAAATACAGGGGTTTCACAAATGCACTTAATAGCAGGCTATCATCCTGTAACAACAGCTCAAAAATAAAATAAAAAAGCGCTACAGCGAGACCGGTGTAGACAGTCAAAAGGACAGAGAGGAGACTGCCAATTTGGGCTTATAGCAGGCCATCGGTTCTTAATGAAACCCCTGAAATCATTAAAATAGAACTTATTTTGCTCATAAAAATACTTCTGTAATTTACCCCAACATGTGCAGGAAGTAAAACAGGTCTGTCTGTCTAGTATGATGGTGGTAATCACATCGCGACGCCCGAGTCAATAGCGCCGGGGAAGAATGAATAACGCCGGGGGAATATTTGATAGCGCCGGGGGCCGCGGCGCTAAAATGGCCTGGGGAGAACACTGGCATATATCCTAATAGAGAAAATACGGTTCATTTAGTCTAATCTGAAATCAAATGACCCAGTTTTAAATTACTTAATTTTAAATTGGTAGTTGAACATTTAAATATAGCTCTTTGTCAAGTTGATGACCTTTAGAAAAATAGAATAGGGAAGACTGCTAGGTTTAAAACATTTTATAACATAAACTCAGTCTAGAATACATGTACTTGTATATTATCTTTAGAAGACAAAACTAACACTGCAGTAATTTGTTTGCTGTATACTTAAGCATCAAAGACTGACCCAGTTACTAATTTGCAGATTCAATAGAAAGATATACAACTCTCAAAGTTCAGTGACAATGTCAATAGAGGGATCATAAATACAATAAAACTTCAAGTAATATAGTTTCATGTAAAGATCAACAAGTGACATTGTCAATATATTAATGGAATAAAATGGTTTATTTCTTGTGTAGAATAGAATTTCACTATTGATGCTGTAGAGAAAAAGTTTAAATTTAAATTAAGTGGAATCAGGTTTTCACAAACTAAAATTAAATAACTAAAATTAAATAACAAAAAAAAAAGAGAAAAACTAACATTTTTTTGGTGATGAGAATTGATGAGAATTCTGGTAATATTTTAATAGTTTGGATAAATTTCCTCTATAATTTTGTTAATTGCTTCTTTGCTGTGTGTAAAATCTGCACTTCACCATTTCATCTTCCACTTCGTCTATTCTACCGGAGTATACATTTTGTAATTTGAAAAGAAAGAAAGAAAATGTTTTTTCTTAATTAACCTATTATTGTTATCTTTGGTTCCAACTGGTGGTAATAACATTCTTACTGCTTATATGCAATAAACAAAAATATCTCGTTTGTGTTTAATATTTGACAACTGAGTGGGCGCGCACCTACTCGTACCAGTCTGTGAATTAAATGTAGCAACAGCCTGAAAGACAATTTAATACTTATTCAAGCAGAATTCAATATTTACACTATGTTATACTACTATGCATATATGTAATGTATTCTGGGAGAAAACCTAATGGAAATAGTATTACAATGGGAACTTACTTAGTTAAATACAAAATTTTAGAATTTTTTCAACATTATAATGTAATGAGACTTATTCGCCAAGAACTTTTTTTATATGTATATAAAAAGCAGTATTTCTCCATATACACCATATATACAAAAGTGGAAATTTTGACCATTTTCCATAACATTTCAGGTGACCCTAATTTAGGTATTCTAATGGCATTAACCCTAAATAAGAATGAATTAGATGATTTTAAAAAATACCTCATTCACAAATGTTCTCTGGGACTCCCTGAGAGTGAGAAATACAAGACTTCAATGTTTTTGGATGTGATGGCGATATTTGGGTGGTAAATCTTGTCAATCTCTTTAACCCTTGAGCACCAAAGCCAACTTTTATAGTCACTATCACAAATTTTGTACTCGACAATTTGTTTGCAATATTTCGAAATTTTGTTCTAAGACTTTATGTCCATTTGGTCCAATTATCCCAAAAAATATAGAAAACAATACATTCAAATAGAATGTTGCAACAAAATTCCGTAGGGAAATTAAGGCACTCAAAGGCTAATATTGAATCATTTGTGAAGAGACACAATTATCACACCTCATCATGTTTGATACGGCTGTACATGTAATTTGTATATAAATTCTAACGGATACTGCCTGATTGACTGACACTTTAATAACACCAATATTATTAAAAAAACACCAACAAATAAATTCAACTATCACAGCATTACTTGCTAAGTGATACAGGAATGTTTCAGCTTAGAAAAATTCATAACGCTTAACTCCTCAAATATCCAAAACATTTACTGCCAGCAACTCGCCTGTAAGCAGTTAATTAATATTATTGATCCAATGCAAAGACGATTACCATTAGATTGCAATACTGATAGCATTTTCCAGTAAGTTATTAAAATAAATACTCGTATGTTGTCCTCCTAAGGATTAGGAATTAGGAAATAACTTGAACATTTTTTTTTTTTTATATATGATTGATGTCCAATCTACCATTCACACTACAAAACAGCATTGACAAAATGTATAAGTACCATTAAAATCAACCGAAGGACCCTACTGAATTATTATTGCTATAAACACAAGTTATAACATAACTGAATAAACTTGAACAAAATAGTCCCCAACTTAGAAGAATAAATTTGAAGTACACCCCTACCCATGAAACCAAAATGTTTTCGAACAGGTGCCTCAAGAAATTTCACACATAAATGCAGAACTTTGCAATTGAGGATGTCAGAACCTATTTCAAACAGCAAGGCTGGCTGCTTCCATTTTGGACAAACAACTCATCAACCTAAAGTCCTGGTGAAATTCTTCACAATTTTGTTTTAACAATAAATTTAACAAAGTAGTTTATGAAGCAACTATGTAATCCTTGTTTGAGCCATACAGTTACACATGTACATAATCAGTAAAAAGCAATTAACTCAAAGGTCATTTTAAGGTCAAAGAAACTTGAGAAGTCCAAGACGTTTTGAACTTCAAGTTGCATGGTAATCTAAACATGTGTAATCAAATCTCGTCTACAGGCCATCTCTAGAGGCTTCCCAAACTTTATCATGCTGGTGAAGTACATTAACAGTTTTATATTCATTTTGCTCAGGAATTGCATTAGCATTTTCGTGCAGTTAGCCCTGATGATAAAATTAATTGGAACTTGCAAGATAGTCTGTGTACAAATAGGACCCTTTTTGTACTTAGGTGAGAATCCCTCTCTAATATTTGGGGTCAATAATCAGAATACGGTGTTAACACAATGCCTGTATACAATATAGAACTAATATACCAATGTACAATACTCGATATCTATCCTTGAAGTTTATCTTGTCCATAGGAATATAATTACCTCAGTATACATATTACATGTAGACCAAGAATTCATTACAAATTGAAAACACAATATAACTTACTATTGATGGGGTCTTACATGTAGAACAGCACCAAAAAGACAATATAAAACTTGAATAAAACCAATGTAGAATCCTGCAAGAAAGATCAATATACAAAAGGTTTTAAAGTGAAAAAAAAATATGGTTGGGTGAACCAGTCACCTACGTGATGGGTGAATGACAAAAGTACTTTAAGCAAGTGTACTGTAGAACTGCTTGAACCTAAAATAACACATATGGTATTGGCCGAACTGTGGAAATTCATTGTTGTATGTTTACATGTATTTATTAAATGAGGTTTACCTAGTTTCTACAACTCTGACTCGTATTTCTAGGTAAAGCAAGGCACAAAAGAGGATAGTAAAGATTGCTAAACGTTGTTACAAACATGACTGACCTTTCACAGTAATGAGTTGTCATACATAGACCATTCAATGTACTTAAAAATAACCCAAGAAATACAGTTTACAACAATTATACAAATAAGTACACAACATTTGTACAATGTAACACAGGTAAAATAGATATACTGGCTCTGATTGAGCATGTCCCAAGATACCATATGAATACTCAAGTAGACCAGAGGTTTTTAAGATCAGGCGCAGAGATTAAAGAGAATGATAACACCTGTTGTGGTCCTGTCATGGTTGGTTAGTGTTTACACGAGATCCCATTTCAAATTCAACACACCTACGTCAGCACAACTTGATGAGGGGAAAGTTCAGAGTCAATGACCATTTTATTTGTAATTTTAATACAACACACCCCAACTATGAATATACCACTCAAGACAAACACATTAAAATTGCTGTCTGATGAGAGTCTGTGAGCAATAGTTCCAGCTCACTGCTCGTGACAAGCTCCCACAGTCCATAGAAATGAAATCTGAGCAGGTTAAGATCCATACCTTGCACACCCTATGGGGTCACTGGTCAGTGCAGTACATTACAAGGAACATACATTGCATGCATGATATTATGATGAAAGTTTAAACTTTGATTTCAGAGATAAGAAATCTCAGACTAAACAAAATATATCAAGTATAACTACAAATGCGACTATTTACTTTACAATTTATTCATTATTACATACATAATACTTTTGGCACACTGTCATGAACAAACTTGGCAAAGAGATTCCACAGATACAAATGTAAAAAATGAGATCAGAGCAAGTACCCCTCTATAAATACCAGGCATGTTGTACATCAGGGCTTGAAATTCACCAAAGACATGAAGGACGTTGCCTCAATGACCCTCAGTGTTTTCCCCCAAGATTTCTTAGCAAAAAGGCACAAGGAGAAAATACATTTCACAATTTTGTTGGTACAGAACTTGTGCATAGCATTACTGTTGCAAGCTTCCATTAGGAAGGGTGTTTCTTTCCCAATTTTATTGCAGTTTCTACAGTATTACTCATTCTGTCGAGTATAATTGAAAAACAAGAATTAAAGATAGTTGTACTATTTTGTACCGCAACAAGACACCCCAAAATTGCAAGGGGCAATGTGCCCATTACCCTGTTCAGGAAGAACACTGCACCCGACTGCCATAGTATCGTTAAATTTTCACTCACAATTTCAATGAGACCAAGGTATTTTCAAAATGTTTGCCGAAAGAAAGTGCCTTCACAAGTTCAAGTGCTGGTACATGTTTAAAATAACAGCATAAATAACACCTGCTTTTCTGACACTCTTCAGTTTACCTGTTCAGTAGGAAAGTGACATCAATTTTCACAATGTCTGATTATGCTTACTACAGTTACCATTTTACATGGGCGGTTCTCCAATTACTAACTTACCTTTAGGGCAAATGAACGATTATTGTGAGGCTGGTGTGAAATTCACTTGGTTCAGACAACCTGGTGTATACAGTTGTGTACATGTATATAAATTAATTAATCATTCTGCAAGACACTGACGAGATCTAAAATTAAACCAATAATTCCCTAAGGCTACACATTAATAATTCAGGAAGGTGATACAATTATTGTCTTGTATTTCCGACTTGCATAAAAACCCTAAAAATATATCACATCAATGAAACAAGCAGCCTATCGGCAGCTCCGCTGTTAGCAATGCACATTTCAATTAAGGAACTGAAGACATCATTAGAAAATGAACAATAGTATCAAAGCAATCGGACTTACAGTTTTTAACAAGAAGTCGAAAATATCACTTTTTACCAAAAATTACAAAAATATTCACCAAAATAAATTAATTAGAGAATTGAAGATATCATTACAAAATGAACAAATCTGAGAGAGGTCCACATGTAGTACCTATATATGTAATATCAAAGTAATTGCACTTGCGGTTTTTAACAAGAAGTCGAAAATATCACTTTTTACCAAAAATGACAAAAATATTCACCAAAATTAGAGAACTGAAGATATCATCACAAAATGAACAAATCTGAGAAAGGTCTACATGTAGTATCTATATATGTAATATCAAAGCAATTGAACAATTGATTTTTAACAAGAAGTCGTAAATATCACTTTTTACCAAAAATGACAAAAATATTCACCAAAATTAGAGAATTGAAGATATCATCACACAAAATGAACAAATCTGAGAAAGGTCCACGTGTAGTACCTATATATGTAATATCAAAGTAATTGCACTTGCGGTTTTTAACAAGAAGTCGAAAATATCACATTTTACCAAAAATGACAAAAATATTCACCAAAATTAGAGAATTGAAGATATCAACATGAAATGAACAAACCTAAGAGAGGTCTACCCAAGGTACATATACACCAAGTATCAAAGCATTCAGGCTTGTAGTTTTCAAGAAGAAGTCGAAAAAGTAAAACATTGACACGGACGACGACGACTGACAATTACTCATATGATAAGCTCCGCTCGACAAAGTCGACAGCGGAGCTAAAAAAGATACAAACTTTCTTTATACACAATATATTTCTTGTCTCAATCAGCACTGTTCAAATTTTATGATTTTAATTGGTCAACCCCTAAGATAATCCTGAAGTTCATGTCCTATAGACATCGTCTAGGAAGATGAGTTGATTAGTGTATTGTATGAGGAAATAAAACTCCAGGGTACAACCGGGAACTATTTTCATGAGCAATTGCTTTTGCATCAACAAGCAGAGGTTTCACAGTACAGTACATCACATTGGCTAAATAATGTATTTATACAAGTGGAATGGTTTGTTCTTTGTAAAGACAGCATCCATATACCGAGAAAATTGGGTCATAAAAAAATACAACAGAAGAAACAGCTAGTTGAGAAAACCATGATGAAATTCACCTTCATGTTTACAATGAAGTACTACATAGACAACTTGAGGCCACACTAGTAAAAACAACAGACAATGTGATACGAGGATGTGCAACACTAGTTTTACTTAGCTATCCGTAGACATGTCAAAAGTTAAAAGGTTACACAGACATGCATGCAACAGGTGACAGGTTAAGGCAACGACATAATAAATATCATAACTGTGGTTCAAACAATGCGAGTGTATGCTTTGTTATGGAAGTAGGACATATCCTTCAAGAATCTTAAGTGTAACCTAAAGGCAATACCGAGACAAAGGGACCGAAAGCTGTACCTGTCCTCGCTCATTCCACATGATTGCATTCTGAACAATGGATGGAAAACCAGAAAGTGCACACTGATACAACTCTGGTGTGTCTATGTCACTTCTGTAATGCATCCCCAGAGTAAACAGCAGTGGTATGTGTATTCATGTGTTTGGAAGTAAGGTGGACTCTACTGTGTGTGTAATATAAATAAATACAGAACTAGTAGAATAGATGACCTAGTAAATTAGCACACCACAATATGGTTGTCTTGGATGGATACACAAGAAATGCAACTTACACACCATGTACCATCTGCAGACCTAATACTCACACTGTAAGAACCAGTCATTGGACATAACAGACCTGCACAAAATCACAGTCAAAGCTGAATAATACTGATTGTTGACAACCATAGCTACAAGCAGCAAGGTGACGATGTCCTATGAACTTTGACCTGGTGAACATCAACGTTAACCACCAATCTAATTAAATGCGTAAACTTGGGCTAAGATTGGAGACTGTCAAGTCGGTTCAACATATTCACTAGAAAAGCATTTATGAGGAAAAAATAATTTATAAATTAAGTACACCCAGGAAAAAATGTCGTCAATGATTTAGTATATTTTCACGTTAAGAATTGAAAAATTTTGTAGTAATTATTGACAATGCCACTGGGGTTCTTCAAGCATGTGAATTGTAAAATGTAATTTCTGTATGAACACCATGAAATAACTGAAAATTATACATGTTTAAACAGGGTTTGCGCTAGCGTCTCAGTAAGATGAGTCCCACTTACAAAATTTTGAGAAATTGAATTTTGACCCTGGATAACTTTATCAGAGATTGGACCCCAGCATGCCTAAAAAACTGTGTCCCTCTTCGATAATTGTAGTCTGGGAAGCAAAATATGGGGTTTACGCAATCCCTGTGTTATCATAAATCAGCAAAAAAATTCAACACTAAAATTGCTGCTCAGCTGTCTACTAAAGGTAAACTTCCTGTTAAAATAAACTATGCAGATGAATCATTGTGAAGTCAACAATACTTCATCTACTCAGGTCAAGAAAAACAGCCCCAGTGTATTTCAAGACCATCACATACTCCATATGGTGAATAATTGAATGCCTGATTTAAAAGTATATTTTTAGTCATTACATATCTATTGAAACATAATCATGGATAGAAAATGAATTTTTCGACAAAGGAATGCAATTATTTTGTTAATGACTGATTATAATTTTAGTCGTCATATTCCAAGTGAAAATTAAAGAATTCTAAAATAGGGCTCAAATTAAATGGATAGCATATCTATTGTAGTATGAATACGGCTGGACAAATGTGGATACAAATTATTTATAAACTAACAAAGCAAATCAAATGTGATCTGGTACTTCCGTCTATAAAATGCGAATACACACATGTCACAGTCAATTGGTACAATAGATTTTCTAAAAAACAGGAATTTAGGAAAATTCTGAACAAGTTTTATGATTCAGGAAAAATAATTATAATTTTTTTCAACTCAAACTGAAGAAGCTAGA